GATAGAAAGAAAGGAGAACAAAGAGGGAAAAACGAATATAATAAAAACAACATGCATTCGAGAACCATTAACGTAACAATATTTATATGAGAGAAGAGGGAAAGACAATTACTAATTACTAAAAGAACAACGATTAAGAGGCATATGATGTGAGGAATCTAAATCAAAAATCCAAGTAGAACGTCATATACAGGAAGTATGCGAACCAATCAAATCTAAATGCATTGAAGACATAGTAGAGGCATGAGACAGATGTGTAGTGGAATAGTAAGCATAATCTACAACTGCTCGATCATTGACTGGACAGTACCAAGAGAAACAGTGGCAGGATTATATGTAGAAGTTGTTAGTGCAGCAGGAGGGCGAACAGATGCCTGCGAGAAGGACCGCTGAGTATTTTCTGAAATTTGGGACAAGAAGCTTTCTAGTATCCTTTCTAACGACAAAAGCTTCATTCATCAATGCCAACGCATGATTTTAGTTTTCTAGTAACTTGTATGAAATGTGCAGATGGAGTAGACAACAACAGAGGTTGTGCAATGGGGGTAGCAAACACTGAATGAGAAGAAATGACAACATAAGCCACCTTAAATTGAGTCTCCTTAGCAATGAGTTCTCAAAACCATAAACATAACTCCATCTTCCTCAACTAATAATAAAAATTCATCATATTACACCAGTACAAGTAGTTGTCACCCTTCAAATGAATACTGATTGTTTGAATCTTATCATCTGAGATCAACATGTAAATATTAACTATCAACAATGAGATCAACAACGCGTGTGAACAGTGTCGATGAACAATAGCCGTGAAAGGTGTCGATGAACAATAATCGTGAACAATGTCGGTGGAAAGTAGCGATAAGGAACATCAATGATCAGTGTCTATGAACAGTAATTGTGAACAGATGACAAGAAAGGAGTGCAATGGTGGATGCGACTTTAGAGATTGCGATGGTGGATGTGACTTTTAGAGTTTGCGATTTGCTAGGAGAGGAGGCTCTGATACCATGAAAGTTTCATTGGGTGCAAACGATACTCTCTCTCAAGTCAATAAACAAGATTACAAGAATATATAGCCCAAGAAAATCATAAACACCCTAGATTACCCAAAAAAAAATTTATCCCTATAATAAAAACTTACATACTCTCTCACAGTGTTCGCCAATATTTGCAAACAAATAATTTGTAATATTATTGTCATAACCAACTGAAATGACATAAAATATAGTCAAACTTTGAATGCAAAAGTTATAGTTATACAACTGACCATGTCCTTTCGGTTAAGCATATTTTGTATTATGCTGGCACATCCAAATGCCTAGCCAAAGACAAACAATTTTGAATATAATGATTTCAAACAAATATAAGAAAGAATGCACATGAGGAGAACTCACCGTCAACCAATAGAAAAATCCTCGAAAGATGTTCAACAATTTAGAGCGATCATGTTGGAATGCCTTAATCTCTTTTTGAGATCTGCATGTTTAAGAAACAAAAATCTGAAATTTGCTATCTTAAGAAAATTGACTACTGGTATAACATAGAAATGAAAAAAATACAAAAGACAAACCATCATGCAGTAAGACTGAAACCAAAAGATAAACACATGGAAGATATCAACTGAAGAGCTCAGAAGGAACAAGATAGCAACAGAGAAGGATGTGACTAATCCATATCACTTCCAGTAGGTCAACTGGTAAGAATGGTACAAAATCATAAGGTAGTACGCAGCAAGATCTTCAACCAATCTAAAGGTGGAATTTCTATTAGATTCAGTTAGCGCAAGTATTATGCCTGAAGCTTCTCATACGCAGAATCTAGAGGGAAACAGCCCCTCTAAATGTGCCTAAAGTCAAAACTCTAACAGCAAGACATCCACTCGTGTATACAATTGAGCTTGTCATATAGGCACCAAGTCATATTATATCCAACTGCAGAGGAATGAGACTCTAGATATGTTAAAACTAATACTCATAAATCATCGAAAGCTTGGACTCCATAAATGGACTCCTTGATAGAAACCAAGCTCAACGGATCTTTCATAGCGATTAGAATTCCTAGATCTCCATGGAATACTGGACCTCAGAACTCCTTGCATAGATCATGTAACATGTTGGGGTTTACATTAGGATGCACCCCATGAATGAAGGGTGAGAAAAAAGTCAGTGTTGTGTCATTTCCACTATCAATACATGAGCAGTGCAAAATTCAGTCATTGCTTATGATAACAAGACAAAAAAAAATAGGTGTCTTCATGTAGGGTTTAAAGACTGCTGCTAAATGGTGTGTACAAAACTTCAATGACTTGCCCTCATATCCCATAACTAAGTTAGTGAATCACGAGACAGCAACTCAGCAAATCAAAAAGCTTCAAGATCAGGAATCTAAGAATGTTAATGATGCTTCTAAAGGATGATGGATCGCCAAACAGACTTTGCAAGCAAAAGGCAAATCGAGAGCTTCATAGCACCAATTAACCATATAGGGCAAAGGGGGGCCAATCATGTCGATGCACAAAGGCAAAAGCACATTATGCACTCATGTAAACATGTTATCCCATTTGAATTTTTCCACGCATGGTAGCTTCACTCAGCATTCCTGCAAACACCACTAAGTTTTTTTTCTATCACTAATCCCATCCCCACATATAATGTGCCAGGAAGTGACAATAATTTATGGATTACTCAGTTTGAGCAGCAATTTAGTGACCATAAGACGAGGAAACGCTGACCTTTCCTATTTAGCTGATCAAAACAGCCCCACAAAGAATTTATGTGGGCCTTATAGGCCTACGTTTACAAGCCAATACCATCCTACCCAGAAGAAGAAGTGACTCAAGAAAGTAATGCGCAAACAAGCAACTGTAGAACAGAAAGTAGGCAGATGGACAGGCTGAAAATGGTAAAGACCAGCAAGGGATAGATCATAGATGAGGCTGTTGTAACAAGAAGGACAAGCAGCTTTGTGGTCCAACCACATGGAGCTGATCAGCTGGAACCTTAGGGGGCAGGAGACAAAATTAGCATGTTACAGTAATCAAGTAGGACACATGCTCTGAGCAGTTTTGCATCTTCTAGAAACCCATGCAAGGGGAAGAGAGGGAAAAATTCATCAGTTCAATAAAAAGGCCAATCTTGATCAACATAACCACTTTATACTGACTTTATAGTATTAGATCGGTCGGAGTAGTTTATCTTGGGATTCTTCCCAAGCAAAACTACAGATTCTCAGTTCATCCTGACAGTCCATTGGCTTCAAACTTCTCTCCGTGTCAAATTTAGAATAATCCAAATTTACAAGGTATGACAACATGCACTTGAATTTGGGAAATTGGCTTTGGCTAATGTGGCCATCCCTGTTTGGATAATTACGTGTCAATGTCAAACTTTAAAAGGAATTTATCAAACCCTGCACAAGAAATTTTTAATATTCCATATTTCAGTGAGTCCTGTGTAGTTTAGAGAGCTTACAAGTGATTGTAATCCTGTTGCCCTATGTTCTAATTTTTTAAAATTTGATTCCAGTGCATTTCAAACTCTAGATATTCATAATGTACGACAAAGAAGTTCCATGAGAAAAAAGAAAATTAGAAATTGCAAAACTATTTCACACCATGAATGTCAAGGAAGCAAGAAATCCAAGTTGCTTCACAAAAGATCAGTACATCCACAAACAAGAAAAAACATAACTAGCAGTGAAAGGAATGCATTGGATAGACAGAATTTTCATCTAATTTTTTACATAGTGTTGACTCTAGGACCATAGAATTGTCCAGTTGAAAGTATAATCATAGAACAAAACATTTTTTCACAGCATGTCTAAGGTGTAAACTTAACGAAAGCATTAAGTAATGTTATGCAACAGACAATCCGTAAATTGGTGATTTAATCACATTTATATTAGCTCAAGGCAAGGCAATATGCAAATAAGACCTGTGTGTGCTATTAAACTTACCACTGTGGTGATCGAGATAAGATTTGCCGCATTTATCTGCTGAGTATGATGTTGTCCTCCCACGTAAGACCCTTGAGCGTTCCATCGGCAGTCTAGCCCTTAAATCTCGCCAAAGCTCATCAAACTCATGCTTGTCATAGGGCTTTCTAAGAATGTCCATGAGCTTGTCTCTAAACTGAGAATGGTCATTTCTACAGTGGTTCCCAAGGAACTTGCAGTCATCTTCAAGCATCTTGACATTCACAAGACAACATTATTACCAGGACAAACGTCACATACCAATGTGAGGAATTTCAAAGAACAAATAATTGGAAACACCATCCCAACAAATTCAATGAAAAAAGAGCAAAGACGGGACAAGATAATACATACAGATGCATCAAATCCTCTTGAAGTTCCAAAGGGGGTATCGTTTCCGTCTTCGCAAAATAGAGAATTGTCCATCTTCAGAATCCGCGAATCAGAAGAATTTTCGACATCATCCTTTTCGTATGTAACCGGCTCACAGTTCTTAAACTGAAGAACTAGATGGTCACCTTTGGTCTTCACACTACTCAGGAACAATTCATAAGAGTCCTCCATTGAACTTACCATATCAGACTTGTGGTGGGGTTCAGATTTGGAACTTAAATCCTTCTCAAAAACTGCATTCCTCTTTTCTTTTCTCATACAACTCCTCAAGATTCTTGGACTTTCAACTTGATACATCTTGTGGACAGTATTTGAGTTTTTAGCTGCTTCTATCTTCTCCTTCACAATGTTACTCAATGTTTTCCGAGCCTGTGGGCCACAGATGTCATCTGACCCTTCTTCCGCTTCATACTTTATAAACACAGCCACCCCATTCTGTACAGCGACTTCAAGGATATACGACTTCCCATGTTCCTTTACTCTCTCCATAAACATCTTATATTGAGGGTCTTTATCATCATCATCATCATCATCATCACCATCATCATCATCACAATCATCATCTTCCCCTTCCCTCCCAGAATGTCCTGGTTCACTGTCCTCTAATAAAACCTTCAAAAAGCACTCGTAATCATCGTCATACTCCATCGATGCATTGTCTTTCATAGTTGTCTCTATACCACCAAAAAAAGAAGTTTTATGATCCGGACTTGTGAGATCAAATCGTTTTCTCTTCAACTGTGCATGCATCTCATCATAAGCAAAATCACAATCATCAAAATCAAGCATCCCCATTTTATCTCGCCAAACTAACCAGTCACATTAATCAAACCTTTATTTTTCCTCTTTTATTCCCAGCAATAACCACGATGAAGTCATTCTTTCAGCTTCGTATCTCATTGTCTGAGCAAAACCCTTTTTGACAAAAAGCAAAATCCTAATTATAACCTAAATAAAAACAAAATATAGACCAATAAATTTCTAATAGACTACAGTAGGCGATTGATCAGAGAAGAAATAAAGCAAAAAAAAACCTGAATTCCTTGCAGAACCTAATGTCCTGCCCATTATATATTTACAACACCATTAAAAAAATGATATTTTATTTAAGCCACGCTTTTGTGAAAGAGGTGTGAGGGTTTACCTGATGGGGTATCTCTCTGGAGAGTCGCTGGGAAAGGAAGACCAGTGGAATGGACTATCATTACAAAATATCTCCAGACACACACAGAGAGAGACAGAGACAGAGAGGGAGTGGAGAAACCCTAGTGATAGAAAATAGTGTAGTGGCCAACGGGAAGAGGGAATATGAAGCGCGGGAGTCTCGAGAACTGAGAAGGCGGGGTAACTTTCTTACGCCGTTACGCCAGTCTTTTTTTAAGTCAGAGTTAAAGCTTTTTAAAAGAGAGAATCGCATTTTTATCCTAAAAGATTTTAAAATTTTTATTTTTATTTTTAATAAAATAAAAAATTTTAAATCTTTCAGAACGTAAAATACATTTCTCCTCTTTCTAAATCTCACCACACCACCACCCCCACCAACCACTAAACATGTGTAATGCCAATTGACTTAAAAGTAAACTCTTCTAATACATGGTCGCCTTTAGGCTATTGGATTGCATTCTTTTATGCTTTTCAATATATGATTGATTTAAAGTAAATTCAATGACAAAGAAAAGCTCACTCACATGATTATTTGTGTATTTTATTTTAACTAGATTTTGCTTGCACGGTTTTTTATAGTTGCAATTCAACTTGTTTTCTGAAGATAGTGGAATTGATTGATTAGTTGGTATTATTATCAAGATGATGTTATTAGCAATTATCTCTTCTTCTTGATTTACTTGCACAAAAGAGTGCCCTGGGGAGATAGAGCCAAAGTTCAACATTGAAATGATGGTTGGGCACTTGCATTCATTCGTTGTTATGGTCCTCGTGGCGACATCATGTGTGGTTAGAGTAAAACATTTGATTGAGGTGTTGGAAAGTTTTATTAGAAAAAAAAAAAAAAAAAAACAAATAGAATTGATGCAAAGAATTATAATATGATGCCAGAGTTGGAAGTGAAAGGGTATTTTGATGGGCAGTGAAAAGGAGTCAACCTCATTAGCTTCCTTGACAAATGCATTTTGCATTCTCTAGATATAGATTTTGGGATTAATGCTTCGGATTTTTAAGCTTGTCCTATTTTAATATTTACTAGGGAAAACCCGTGCAAAGCACACTGTTATGTCTTGAAAGTTTGGTGTTCCAAAAAGCTAAACAATGCTATTACTGCCGGAAAGATTCTTTACTTGATAGTTGTTGCTTTTGGAAGCTTGAAACAGTTGTAGGAGTTAATTTTGAGCTATAATCATAAAATGGCATTTTAGTCTACAAATATAAAATACTTAAGGTAATTACTTACCAGGTGAAGAAAGGAAACATTTTGGTAATTAGTGTAGGAGTAGGCGAATAGTTTAGAGAGTTCAACTCTGGATAAATGTGGTGATTTTTGACATGAGCCTGAGAAAGTATTGCCAGACTTCTGCTCCTTTTATTGATTTGAACTATTGTGGGCTTTGACTACTATTAGTTTTTTTTTTTTAGATAACGAAACGGCAAGACCACTTTGAAACCTCCACTTAAAAGTGGAAGCTCCAAAGAGCCTTATACACACACACCCACTTTGACTACTATTAGTTGAGTATGTATTTTTTGGGTGCAGCTCGTCTGCTCTTCCTCAAAGAATAGCACTGTGTGCTGTTTTTTTAAATGGCGTCGTCTCACTAAAAAAGTCTCAACTCTACCATAAAAAAGCCCGAACAGTAAAAAAAATCCCAATTTTTCAATACCTACCAAATCCTTCAACACAGTGAACTATTCACCTCCTCCTCTGCACACACAGACAACTACATCCTTTCTACACACACATATACAATTGGATTCAATCTTCTACACAAACGGACAACAAGGTTTGGTCTTCTATAACCCCCACACACTGAATTCTTTGTAGGTTTGTCATTTTCTCAATTTTTTATTTTGCTATTGCTAGGGTTCAATTGAAGGCTTCCAACAGTCAAAACCTCATCAGCACAAAAAGTTAACTGCAACTTACCCCAAAAAAAAAGCTCTCTTTGTACTCATGGGATCAAGTCGGTGGCCGCAAGCTTCCTCTCTTTGTTGTTATGATTGTTGGCTTGTGTCTAGGTCGGGTTGTAGAATTTTGTTATATCGACATTTTTTTGTTTGATGTGGTTGTTGGGGTGTCCTTGAGTGTTTTTGAAGCACTTTTTTGGGTACATAACGGGTAGTGAAAATAAATTTAAATATGAATTTTCATGGTGATGAACTATGAGTAGCTCTCACAAGTTGTGAATTTTTTTTCCACTATGTTCTTTGCACAAGGAATCTGACTTTCTTAAAGGATTCCTATAATATTTAATTTTGTTAGGTTTTGAATTTTCAATAATTTCTTGTATCATTGTCAATTTCTTTGTTAACCCTTAATGTTTTGTAGTGATGTAGAATGACTTCGTCGAGTTAGGGAGCAAGTGGAGAAGTGATAATCAACTTTCCTAGTCGACTCACAATGGCCTAAGCAATTAAAGGATTGATGGAATTCATAGTCGACTCCAACGTATTGAGGCAAATGAAGAAGCGATAAAGTTCCCGCTATTACTTATTTTGGTTATTGTTTTAATGCTAAAATGATGTAACTAGATCAAGTGTTGTATGTAATGTAATGATTCATTTTCATTTATAGAAATGGTATTTTAAACATTCTTTGTGGGTTTGATGATATAGCATGTGTATTTTTAGTGATGGTGGTAGTGGAGAAAAATAGTATAACATGCATGTCTTCAAAGTGGATTTGGTGGCTTTGGCAGCAAACCAGAATGCAATAAAAAATCAGGATGACTTTACTTCTGATTTTTCTGTTGTTGCTTTGCCTGCTAAGGTGAGGAGTGCTCTTGTGCAGGATCAAATTGGTCTGCCAGTTGCTAGGGTCAAAAAAAGTGATGGTTTTTTATGATAAAGATTGATTGTGGGGTGTTAGGAGATGAGCTGATGGAATACTCTGTTGTATTGCTGATGTGATACACTGATGCTTTGATGCTATGATTTTGAGTTGTTATGTTGTGGAATGCTGTAGTGATGCACTGAGGTTGTTTTGTTGTAAAGCAGTTTTTTCTGTTTGTTTGATTCTTGAAATTTGAGATTCTTTTAATAAAACTTTCTTTTTAAAAAAAAAAAAAGAATGCAAGAAAAATAGCCAGAGAATAGAGTATCCTTAACCACAATGAACAACCCCCAAAATACAATATTATTAATCAAAATCTTCCATAACAATTATCAATCCCAACTTGCAATATCATTAATCACAATAACAACCCCATACAATATCCTCAATCACAGGACAACTTGGGAATTGAACCAAACCAAAAGTTATAGAAACAAGATTAAATAATCTGAAAACAGAGTAAAGGCCCTTCCACCTTGCCACTCTTGTTCTTCAGGCATCCTTGAAAAAATCGTAGAAGCTTTCATTCACGAAATCAAATGAATGCAATGTTGTTGCATCAAATGACATACCCTACAAACAAAAAATGAAAAAATGTTAATAAAACATTAAAATCAATTCATGAAAAAGTAACAGAAAATCCATGTGAATATAAGATACTGAAGTATTTTGTGAATTGTTGGATGCTTGAGAAGACAATGGATGTGGACATCCTGGCTTTGATACCTTAAAAACAAGTAAAATAAAATGTAAAATCAATATTGTCATATCTTCATCAAATGTAAAATAAAATACAATATTGAATGTGTAATCCCTTAGACATATGAGAGGGTTGTGGACCTACTTTCTTCCTTTTCGTTTGCATCTCATGCCAAGGTTTTAGTCGCCCACTTTCCTTTTTAAACCTCTCACCCGTAGAATATTAGGGTCCATATTCTATATGCCTTCATTTCTCGCATTGCCTTTATTGGTCCTATCACCCATGTTATTAAGTGATGAAAACATATTCTCCACTTGATCAAACTAAGCATCAATACCTCAAGACACCAACTCAAATGTAGGCTAAAGATAAGAACAACGAGATGCTAACTTGACCATTCTAGGACATAACTGTCTATATCATGATGTTATCACCAACTTGGGATCCCCCACATTTTGTGTGACAAAAGAATTTTGTCCATGAACATTCCTCACATCTCGTCTCCATTTCTTAATAATGTATTGGTCAGGAATTTGCTTAATATTCATCATGTCCAACACCTTAAGCGCATGACTGCATAATAGCGCACTGGAATGTGTCATATTCTTCTTGAAACAATTCAAATATAGGAGGAGTATAACATTGACTTGCTTGCACCAACATGAGAGTTTTTTTGAACGTTAATCTAAGCAACTTTTGCCTAGCATGGTACTCTGACTCCGACTCTTGATATCTCTTATCATTTACAACCCTATTAAAATAAGTGAAAAATTGAACAATATCAAGGTTCGGTTGTAAGTAACCTCGTAATGCTGCATTCATACTCTCACTAAGTTGGGTGCTCCTCATATCTGCCGTAAAAGTTCTCTTCATATATACCTTTGCCCATTTCTCCCTTAAAGCCCAGGTCAAATTCATCCAACTGATATCCTGCAAATTGTACTCATCAAGCAAAGAATTCCAAGTTTCAACTAGTTCATGTTCTTCATCGGATTCATAAATGCATTCTTTAAATTTGGTAACGAAGTTTGAACCATCCTTATATATATTTCCAAGATGCTTTAAAGCATTTTGAGAAAGATGTCAAGTACATAACTCGTGATATGTCTCTGGCATCACTTGGGATATAGCATTGGTCATTGCTTGATCTTGGTCAATAAATATAGTGATAAGCTTCTTCCCAAACATTGCTTGTAGGAATGTCTCAAATAACCACTGAAATGAAGTTTTCGTTTTATCATACAACAATGCAACGCCAAATACCACAGTCTTCCTAAAATTGTTGAAACCAACAAAACATGCAAATGGTCGATACTCCTTAGTTTTTCGGAACATTGTGTCAAATGAGACAACATCCCCAAAGTGGCCATAATCAATAATCATTTTTGGGTCAACCCAAAAAATATTTGTGATTCTCTCATCGACATCCAATTGAATTCCATAGTAGAAGGATGGATTTTTAACCGCTTCAGTTTGGAAATATTTCAACAAACTACTTGCTTCACCATATTTCAACTCTCGCTGCCTTCTTTCACGGATGTAAATCTTTTGGTCTTGCCAAGTGAATCTTAAACTTTCCTTTCCACCTGCTTGGGTACTCATAAGTTCATATGATGCCTTGATTGATATCTCACAATCCTCTGTCATATCCACATTAATGCCCTGCATTGTAGTAACCTTCCTTTGAGATGACATCATATGCATACATTCACTAAGGTGCAAAGGGTAATTGTGCATATCATCCAATTTGACTACAACAAATTTTTCAATATCCCGATTAAGGGAAACACACGTGTGAGCCGAACAATTTGTACGTGTCTATGCTCGAGGTTTCACTATTTTTCAATCTCTTTTATCCAAGTTTTTTTGCCCTTCTTTGCAACAAACGTATTTCTGATATATTAATATACCATTTTTCTTACTTTTGTTGTGATAATCTTTTCTCACATTAAATCCATCCGAGCCACCATAGTTGTTATAAAATACATATTCATCTTCCTTTGAGTCAAAGTGCATACCAATACGTGGAGTGCTCACAGGTACATTAGTCATGGTATACTATATCATAGTTTAGAAGACCTGGAATCAAAACAAAAGAATTACAGTCAAAATCCTAAAATATTATAGCTTGGTTAGATTAAAAAAATGTAATGTATTTGATATAAAAATACAATATTTTGTGTGCATTCACAATGGTTTCAAAACCAATTAGCAACCAAAATTTTGTTGGCACATAACAAGTTTCTATTACAACAATATTGAAATTTCTACCAAAATAATATTAAATGGATTAATTTAGGAATCAAATAGCATTGTAAGAGTATATATATATACACACACACAAAATAAAATCCTAATATTCTATGAAAATAAGCAAAATAAAAAATTGACAAAATGACAAACCTACAAAGAATTTAGTGTGTGGGATTATAGAAGACCAAACCTTGTTGTCTGTTTGTGTAGAAAATTGTATCCAATTATATATGTGTGTGTATAGAGAGGATGTCGTTGTCTATGTATGCAGAGGAGGTGGTGAATAGTTTACTGTGTTGAAGGATTTGGCGGGTATTGAAAAATTGGAATTTTTTACTGTGCGGGCTTTTTTATGGTGAGCTGAGACTTTTTTAGTGGGACGGCGCCGTTTAAAAGAACAGCACACGGTGTTGTTCTGTAAGGAACAACAGACGAGCTGCACCCGTATTTTTTCATGCGACTATAATTGTCTATTGTGTATCTGACACAATTGATGCAAAGATATTGACATGTTATCTCTCAAAGTTATCGTGCTTTAACTTATTAGTTGATATATGTTTGTAAATGTTATACAACCGTAAGATACAAGCTATGTGACTAACGCTAATCCTAAATCTGGTCAAATTCATCTATTTATTGAGATTGTCTAGCAATCAATAAATCTTTTGAAGTTTCTATATATGTCAGTTACATTTCAGTTTAATATATTTTAGATTGCCTTAAGAGAAATTTTAATTATATCTTCTTTCCAGATATCCTTATTGTAGTAGAAGCAGTATTTCATTAATAACCAAGGAAAGTTTGAGCTTCTCTATAAGCTGGAGAATGTTGAGCAACATATTAAAAAAGTTGAAAAGAATAAGGAACCAGATGCAAATAAAGTTGCATCGGGAGCTTCAACTTCATCCCCTCCAAAAGGGAGATTCCAATGATTCAAACCCGATTGAACACCAAGATGAAGTGTTAATGGCCAAAGCAACTAGCATGGCTACCTCCCCAAATGCAAATTTAGATTTTTCGCTCAAGCTGGGGTGAATGAGAAACACGATGGTGTTGATTCCCTCAATGGAGCAATAAATCTTCCGGTTACTGATTCGGTGTTGAGTCAAAATGGACAGTGTGCTATTAAACTCAAATGGAACAACCTTTTTCAAGGTAATCAAAAGTTTCCTACTGGCTCAAAATTGAAATTTCATGATCTTGGTCTTGTTAAAGGTGAGGCTTATGAAGCCCCATTGGAAATCGCTAAGCTAGGATACTCTTTGTGGGAGAATGCTCTAATTGACAATTAACTCCTTGACTTAGTATTTCGTGTCTATCGTCATGATTTTGTTGTTGAGACACTTGATGAGCCAAATCCCTCTGTCTGAGTGATTGAGTTGAAACTTTGGGCATAGAGCGGAGCGCCTAGGGAATAGAGTAGAGTTTCAGTAATATTGAACACCCCAAAATCGAGAACCTACAACTCTCCAGGTCCCTAAACAACTCTATAAATCTTTAGCCCCCTTAAATTTTTAGGTTTTTCGCACTTTATACGCCGAAGGACTTAAAAGTTTTTTATTTTGTATCCTCAAAAAACTTTAATGTATATGACATATTATAATATGACTCTTCTGTTAACAAAGACTGATATGCTCTACATCTTGCAAGATTTGCTAATGAGATGCACTTTGAACTCAATTTTCAGAGTCGGATTTGGAGTAGATTTGAATTGTTTGGAAGGATCAAACAAAGAGGGAAGCTTATTCATCAAGGCCTTTGATGATTCAAATGCGTTAATCTATTGCCGATATGTTGATCCATTTTGGAAGCTAAATATGTTCTTAAACATTGGCTCTGAAGCTTCCCTCAAGAAGAACATCAAAATCATCTTCGATCTTGTCGATAAATTAATCAGAACCAAGAGGGAACAACTCGAAATGCAACAAAATTGCGTGAGTATTTGCTTAAATTTGTGATTAGCCATGAACTGTTGCAAACATTGGAACATATCAACCTTTTTTTCATGGAAGATGAAGGCAGAAAACTATCATCAGAGCAATCATTTGGTTGATTGTTTTTTATGCAACATAGGGGCGTAACTTGGGCAGGTTGAAAAGTCAACATGGGCTCCATCCAAATCTACAAAACAACCATTTTGAGTTTCAGCCCGAACTTATACCTTTGAATCTGAGTATTGCAAAAGTTTATATTTTTTGTACTTAGATTACAAAGTTCGGGTTAAAATTGGGTTACATAACATGTGTTGACATGTTCACTGGTTTTTCATTTTTTTAACAAAATGACAAGGAAGACATACTTTCAAGGTTTCTGATGGAAAGAAAGAAAGACCCTGAGAGGATGAAAGATCACTACCTAAGGGATATAATTCTGAACTTTATGATTGTTGGCAAAGATACTACAACAAGCACACTTTCATGGTTTTTTTATATGCTTTGCAAGAACTCGATTATACAGGAATGAATAGCGCGAGAAATAATCAAGTTTTCAGTAATCAGGTAGGCAATGAAGGTGGTACTAGTAGCATTGAGGATATTGTGACAAAGTTGAATGATGAAATTCTTGAGAAGATGCATTACCTTCATGCAACATTGACAGAGACCCTAAGGCTATACCCTACAGTCCTAGTGGTAAATTATCTCAAGAACCTAAAGAGAATTTTCTTTTTTCTTTTCAATTTATGTTAAGGTGTTAATTGCTTAAGTGTGTTCAAGGTCGACTTGGTTGTGACTAGTTGAGATTGAGTCAAAATCGAACTCAATTTTTTAGCAAGAATTTTAAAAAATTCTACCTTAGAACTTATGAAGTTATCCTAAAAAAGTTGAACTTCTCAACAAGATTCCCCCAAAATCCATAAAACCAGCCAAAAAATTAAAAATTTTCACCCAAAAAATCGTAAGAGAAGGGAATGGAAGTGAGGGTGTTAATCGAGCCAAAATTTTGCGAGATTGAGCCCGAGCCCAAGTAGCTCGACTATTTTTTACATATAAATAAGTTTAAAAAATTGTTCAATCTCAATTTGTTTAGAATACGAACTCGAGCTCGAGTTGAGTTTTATTTGAACTGAGCCCGAGTAACTCGTTTCGATTAACACTCTTAAATGAAAGGGAAATGTATGTAAAGTGAAAACTATTGAGGGATATGTTTGGAATTTTTAATGTTTTGAATAAGGTCGTTTACAATAAAGTTAGAATTATTAACAATTCGAGTTGAGTTGAATTCACTTGTATTTAGCTATGAGCTGAATAAAATTCGATCATTTACAAATTTTTATAGGATTGTAATTGATTTTGTTGTCTTTTGGGGTATATTCAGGATGGGAGGATTGCAGAAAAAGATGGCATTCTTCCTGATGGTTTTAGACTGAAGAAAGGGGATGTTATCTACTATATGTCCTATGCAATGGGCAAGTTGTCTGACATTTGGGGAGATGATGCCCACAATTTTCGACCCGAGAGATGGCTCAACAACGGGTTTTTCCAATCCGAGTCACCATTCAAGTTTATAGCATTCCATGTATGTGATATCATTTACCCATTCATCTTCTAGTTAGGTGTTTACAATTTTCTACACATCATGAACTCAACAAGAAATTAGGGGCTAGGTTAACTAGTTCTCAACATGAGTCCAAAAATTTGTTCAATAGGAACTATGGTAGGTCCCACAAACAACCATTTATTTTATCACATCTTATATAACAAATTTATCATTTTACCCTTAACATCATTCATTCCTTAAAATCATTCATTCCATTCAAAATAACATTTTTTAAAAAAATCGATGATACTGTATACTTAAACATAATACAAGAAAAAAATTCAAAATAATTTTTTTTAAACTTTTTTTTTAAAAAAAACCGGTAACATCGTACACTTAAACATAATAAAAAAAAAATTCAAAATAATTTTTTTAAAAAAAAAACTAAAAAAAAAACTGTTAATACCATACACTTAAATATAATACAAGAAAAAAATTTTAAAAAAAAACCGTTAACACCATACGCTTAAACATAATAAAGGCAAAAAATTAAAAATAATTTTTTAAAAAAAAAATCTTTAACACCATACACTTAAACATAATAAAAAGAAAAAATTTAAAATAATTTTTTTTAAAAAAAGGTGTTAATACCGTACACATAAACATAATATAAGAAAAAAATTTAAAATAATTTTTTTAAAAAAATAAAAAAAAAATGGTGACATTGTATGCTTAAATATAATATAAGAAAAAATTCAAAATAAATTATTATATGTGAACTCTTCACATAAGAGGGCATTTGTGTCATTTTATTCTCTTATACCTCCATTTTATCTGTACCAAAAATATAATACCACCGGATAGGTGGTATTACTTAGTACCATATAGAAGGCATAACAATGACTGCTCACACTGGTCAGTATTATGACTCGAAAAATAACTGGTGTGTAGAGTTTAACTTATGCAGAAAAGACCAGATTATCAAATCTTTTTATAATATGAGTATATGTTCACAATCGTAGATGGAATTGGACACGTCATCGATATGATTGTAGTGTAATATTCTAGCATAGTCTGTCTTGACTGTAGGAGATTGTTTGATGTCTTGAATTATTGCACTAGTACACTTTGTGTATTGAACAGACCCGTGTTAAAGTTATTATCTTTTACTGATTTAATAAGATAATAAATACCTCATGATTATTATCATTGCTTATGCTTATTCTTCTCCTAAATATTTAATTACCACGTACATATAATGTTTGTCACTTTAATTCATCAAAAAGTGAGATTTATATTAGGTCAATAAGCTCGATGAATTGGGAGACGATGTTATTTGTATGGTGGAAATTAAATATTAAAAGAAATCGCATCCTAGTATTTAAATGGGTTGATGATGTCTTCTTAAAGAAGCTCATAAGTTTTGTCCATGTGAAACCCTGCAGGTGAATTTAATTATCTGACATGACAAATAAGTTGAGTGATAAGTCTCAATGAATAAATGGACCAATGGGGGACCTCCGCTTGACATGACCCACCTATCAATAATGATGACTCCATAAAGGTATAAATAGTTGCAAAAAATTAAAGACAAAGGTACGCAAACTCAATCCAGAATACAAAATAATGTTTTTTCCTTCCTCTCTCTCACGAACTAACTTGACCGTCAGAAGGGATACGCCAGAAAACACTTTGACACCCTTCTAACCCATCTTTTGAGTGTTAGATCATTTAATAATAGGGTCTCTCCCATGCAAAATAGGAGGTGTTCTGTCCAATGACTGTGCGCTACTTACTGTCTCCCAAGTGGACCAATAGGGGATCTCCTCTTGACATGACCCACCTGTCAATAATGATGACCCCATGAAGGTATAAATAGTTGCAAAAAAGTGAAGACAGACGTACACAAACTCACTCCAGAATACAAAATAGTGTTTTTTTTCCTTTCCTTCTCTCACGAATTAACTTAACCGTCAAAGAGGATACGACGAAAAACACTCTAGCACTCTTCTAACTCATTTTTTGAGTGCCAAGAATTGCCTTTAACCCACCGGAATCGATTGAACAGTTTTGAAAGTAATTCATCACCACTCCTTAGGCCATCTTTGGTCTCCTTTTGCCACAGGATCGTTGACTCTTGAGGTAAATGCGAGTTCTCTTAGGGAGAGAGTTGATTTTTTTTATTTATTCTACGAAAATCACCGGGCACAGTTTGGCGTCGTATGTGAAAAATGACCAAATTTCCTAAAAACAGTGACTATGGTGAATACTCATCAAAAGAAAAAAGGTCCTCAGCAAAGGAATATTGATTTACGGCTCCCTTCATGTCGAGGATGGAGGATCACGTTGAAAGTGTCAACAAGAAATTTTTCTTCATTCCAGGGAGAAAACCAGCCAAACTAGTCTGAGTATCGGGGTTGGAAGGGGTACCCCTTAGCCCGTCAACTTGCTGATGTGATTGAACAATAGTTTTGGGATCGACTAAGACAATTAGAGGAGGACAATGAGAATGTTCTAAATCAACTCGACAGACTTGCACTTTCTGGTGGGGGATCTCAAGACTTACGGCAGTCGCGGGAACCCTCCGCCAAGGAGGTGGGAGCAGAAGATTTGAGGAAATGCCTGAGTGGCAGAACAGGGAGCTCCAAGGCTCCGAAGTGACCGAGGGCCAGTGGATAGTGCCTGGAGGTCCCAGTTAAGAAAACTAGATCTTTGGCTTGGAATGACCTTCGTCGAAAACAGTCTAGGCGAGGGGACATGGAGAAGTTCGAGGAAGGGTCAACTTTCTCCGTGAGGAATGCAGGAACTGGATGGCACGATGATCGATGCCGAGGAGGTGGAGGGATGCGTCCCAAGCCGGGGGAGACTTCAGGGTACAGTTAGAGTCCATGAGAAGGGATAAGACTATCCTAGAGGATGACACGGATGACGAAGGTATTCTGTCACCCTTCACTAAGGGTATTGTGGAAATAGAGGTGCCAAAGAAGTTTTGTGGTACCAAGATTTAAAGTTTATGATGGACGTTCTGACCCTGAGGCTTATTTCAGGCAATACAAACAGATGATGTCCTTATATCACTCAGATCACTGACTGTTATGCTTAGTGTTCTCAATGAGTCTGGGAGACACTACCATGAAATGGTTTGAAACCCTTCCACCCAATAGCATAGAGTCTTGAAAGGAGCTAACCAGACAATTCTCTACCTGATTCATTACAAGGAGCAATCGCCCTAAGGATGTTGGGCCACTGCTGACCCTGAGATAGAAAGAGGGTGAAACACTCTGCTATTACACCACTTGTTACTGGGAGGAAGTGAATGAGGTGGAGGGATGCTCTGAGGTCATGGCAGTGACCTCCTGCAGACTTGGGCCTCTCACGAGACACCACCTTTGTAGGTCTTTAAGCAAAGAAAACGTCAATGGATATGAGCGAGTACTGATGACCCGAATCAACAAGTACTCCCGA